CCCAGGGCTGTGTTCCAGTTGCAAATGTTTTGTCCGATACTGTACATTCATACATACTTTTACTTTACATTCATACCGAAGGCCTTTTCAAAGCTCAAAGTAGAAACGTATGTTTTTAGCATGTTCAAGCACTGGATAAATATGTACTCCAGTACTTAAGTTGTGCCCACACACACACAGTTGGCAAATGACATACTAAATATTTGTTAGTTGTGTGGCTCAACTAATAGGAACGCTTAGGCTGAAGTTTGCCAAAATACTGAATTCGCATTTACTTACAAATGTGATTCACAGATTCACTACAAAGTACATACAAACTGTTCTAAGTGCAAAACAAAAAAAAAATATACCTACCAGAAGCTGCCGGTGTCGGACACACTCGTCCACTGAGGTGATAAATTGCTCTACAATTCGTACCCCCGTCCCGCCCCCCTCTGTGAGGCGGCAGCATTACCGAGTCCTCCTCCTCCTCCACGTTTCGCTCGCACACGCATGCAAGCAACGTAGCAGCAGATTAGCCATGGATGTGTGTGTGTGCGTGGCAGGCATCCCCAGCAGCAGCGACGCGACGTTAAGAAGTCAAAGTCATCCCCTTTCCTGTGTGCGGCGAGTGAGTGTGTGTGCGGCTGAAATTCAATATACGGCACAGGCATAAACCGTTTAGTCACAGGATATTACGTTCGTTTACATGTCACTGGAATTCCGCTTATTTATTACGTACGTACTACGTATGGCAGCAGAGGGCGCTGAGCACAGCTACTTACGTACTAATGCAAAAGCTATGCGAAGTTGGTTTTCCTAACTGGGGGAGATGGGTGGTGGTGGTGGTTGTGTGGTGTGTAACAATTTTTGCAGCTCAGTTTTACTTTAACTCGTCGCGCATTCTTCGGGCCTAAAAATCCTTATCAGTCCATCAGTCTATCAGTCGTTGACGTGCGTATGTGCGGCTGGTGCTGCTTCCTCTTCCTTTTGTAAACAATCCGATTTTTATCAGTCAATGCTTATAAGTTTGTTCGTATGCATGTGCGGGTATGGCATAGCGAATGCGACCATCAACGTGTTTTTAAATTGAATTTGAAGAGCAGAGTAAGCAAATAAACGATTTGGTAAGGATTCACTGGAATGTTTCTCTCGAGCAGAAAGAGGCAGATACTGTTGATAATTCGAGAAATAAGGACTTTTGAACTAGCAGGGTGGCATATTATTTTAAATTCTCACGCCACTACAATTGCACTAGGAAAAGAAAATTTAATTTCGCGGGCGATTTCATTTCAAGAATGCAAATAAAAATTAGTGTCTGGCACTGTAGTATACAATTTCATGGACTTAGCTTCTAATTTAAAAAAGGTGGAAGGTGCATACTTACATATATATGTGCGTATGTATTTCCATGCATATGTATTCATTCTTTTTAAGAGAGAGCGCAAACTTTATATCTTAGTTGGACCAAAAATGTTCGCCATTTTCCTCATGGCATTGCGATGTTACGCCAATTATACGTACATACAAGTAGACACGTGCTTCTTCCGAGTCATAGGATCTTTTCACACGGGCGTACGACATATCCAGGGTACCGGTGGGAAAATTTTGGAGCCCTCTGGCGGCGATGTTTTTGTTATGGCGTCTGTATAACCTATAATTTATTTTTTCAGTCGATATAAAATTACGGGCATTAGAAGATATTTATAGAGCGTAATTTTTTGTTCGATGAGAAAGGGTTCTGCTCTTCATTCACTACTTGAAACCTATAACTGCCTTACGGCTTACCATGTCATCTTCATCTACGAACGCCAGCAGCATCGTGCTTTTGTCGTTGTGAAAACCGCGTTTGGTCTCGAATGGAACGTCGGCAGGTCCTTCCTAATTTGGACGGAAATGAAAGTTATGCTCAAAGTCCTTATTCATATGGATTCCGAATTTAGACTTGCATCGTATAGGGATATTCTTTTCGTGCTATCAAAAGAAACCGAGAAATATAGTGTTTGCCCTAACAGCTCTTCTTCACCAGCTTCCAACAGCTCATACCGTCGGCCACGGGGGCTTCGTTGTTTTTAAGTTACTTATTACTATTCTCACCTCTTCTTGGTCTATTTGAGGAATATCTCTACACACTGGTCAGGGTTCTTCTTCAACCTAAACGTGCCAGTGGTGTCGCCATTCAAAAGCGTTGAAAAGATTTTCCACCATATCTCAAGTGTAGTCTGGATGTCTGTCTGTTAACAGATTTCCATCTTGCCACTAATTTCTTCTTTTTGAATAGACGTCTCTCTCCTACTTCCTGTATCGCTCAATTGTCGCTCGCGTCGACATTAGCCGTGGGTAGGCTTTGTAGGGTGTGTATTTTTCTGCAGCACCACAAGACACTCTTCTCTACCTCTTTTTCTCATTTATTTCCCGACGCTCAGAGGCCGGAGAAGCCATGTTTTGCGCGAAAAATGAGAAGAGCTGTTACAATAATAACATAACTGCAGGATCGTAGTATTGTTGTAACGCTAAATCCGAAAATGGCATAAAATTTATAGTTTGACAGTTGACAGCTGTCAAATCAACTGCCAATTTCTGCAAAAATAATTAATCTTTTTGAAAATATAAGTGGTTAGGTTTTTGGGCACGCTAGACACGAACTTTATGTCAAATTAAAACTTTGACTGTTGACAGCTGTAAAATGGACTGGATTTTTCTAAAAATAAGACCATCTTTTTGAAAATGCCACTTATTAAGTTTTTGGACATGCTGATCACAAATTGTATCTCAAATTAAAATATTGCGAATTGACAGCTGTCAAATGGACTAACGGAATCAGTTTTCGCATTTTTAAATAAAGTTATTCAGATTTAAATTTTTGGAAAAATTTCAGACGTCACATTGGATTTGCATTTTGAATTTTCAGTAAAGGTGTTCTTACACGATATGTTTTTGCATCTGTAAATGTGACTTTTTCAATACA